CAAAAAGCAAAGTTTACAGAGGTCCCAAACTGATTACGATTTGCCCTCCACTTCCACCACAGGTGTCATAGAGATCAGGGATGAAATTGATATGCATCATCGTTCTCCTAAAGCCAGTCCAGGAAGAGATCAGGTTTTGAGATGTAGACCTGAAATGTTAAATTTGGATGAGAATGAGAATTCTGGGGCGAATACTATCCAGGGAAATGGTCATTGACATCCAGAAAATGGTCAAAATGTGGAATTCTGTCATTCAGTTAAATGTCAAGGGGAGAAGACAGGCCTGTGCAGTACCAAATTTCCAGCCCATTACTATTAGTGAGCAGAAGTGGGGATGAGGTTGGATTTACTTCTTAAAGTGTATGAAATGCACATTTATCTCACCTGTTTTGCTTCTTTTTTTTTAATACTTGTGTTGAGGTCAATCATTCCACTCTATGAAACATTGCCCTGGCACCTGAAATGATAGGAGGCTGGGGATAAATATGCAATAAAAAACAGTGAGAAAATAAGAAAAAAATATGGTTTCAACTGGAAATAGAAATAAACCTCTTTATTTCTCGCGAACAGCCCGTCACTGGCCCTCCAAAAAGAAACCAGTTAACAATCAGTAAAAAAGTAAACCTTGAGTGTCACATAAGTCTAAGCCAATCTCAAAGGTAGATGCCATGTTTTGAGGTTCGGTCTAAATATTAAGGCCAACTGCATGTTTGGTCAAAAGTCACACAGATGTGAATTTTGGAGTGTACATGTTAACATTTCATTGTATGATGTCAAAAACATGTTAGGTCTAAATGTTAAGGCCAACTGCAGACTTGGTTCAAGGTCACAACATGTAAATAGGGTTAGGGCACATGATTTTTTTTACACAATTGTGGGTTTGGGCTAGGGTCAGAACTAGGTCTTGGCTTAGGCCTAGGCTACATGCTTTTTGACAAGATTGTGGGTTAGGGTTAGGGTAAGGACTGGGTCTTGGGTTAGGGTTAGGGTCAGCCTTGTTTACATCTCGTGACTTTAGACCAAATCTGGAGTTGAGTTGGCCTTAATATTTAGACCTAACCATGTTTTGATATCATTGTGAAGAAAATGTTACACATTTACAACCCAAAATTCACACTCAACCAACGGATACCCCCAATCATGGCTATTTTGATACCAAATAGTCAAAAAACTTACTGCTGGGCAATAAAAAAGCAGTATTCTTACTATTTCTGACACTTTCCATTCAAAACTTCAGGAAATAAGCCCTTGAAAAAATATCAACATCCCGAGTCGGCCATGTTTCTTTATCTCATCAGGACTCAGACTAGCAATTATTTGCCCATTGACTTCAATGTTAAATGGCTGTAACATCACAGGCTGTAGCTTTTTTCTCAACATTCCGTTGGTTCCAATCTTTATAGGCACAATGGGGACAACATTTGGCAATCTCCTCATCATAATTTTGTAGGGGGTTGACCGTTTAGATTTTTTGCTACACGGATTTGAAGTTGACTGGGGTGAAAATCTCACTTCCGACACAATGACTGCTCTGCAGAAAGACACTTTACACCCCCTATCCCTCCGCTGTAATATCATCAGTATTACCCAAAACTGCTATGAAATTGCAAATTTGATCCCTTTTCTCCAATTCTAGACCAAAAAGTCAACCCAAAAATGCAGGAAGAGGGGAGAAAAAAATTAAGGGAAAAATTGTCTATTTATAACTCGCACTACATTCGTCCATCATGAAATAAGGGGAAATAATTACTAGTCTTAGTCCATTTGACACATTAAATGACTCTGATGTGCAATTCGACCATTTTATTAAGCAAGAATCGGGCAGATTCCACAGTCAATAAGTATCCTGAATAGCTTTATAAAATGGACCCGGTCAAAATACTATGGATATTTGTATTGTTTATTTTTGTTTTGTAAATATTTTTGTTTTTCCCGATTAGTCTGTAACTCACACAGAGTAATTTCTGTCTGCCGCTAATGGATTAGGTCTGATTGCTTGACAGATTGATTGATTGAATTACTAATTATTTGATTGACATTCAATGAGTTAACCAGGATGGGATAATTAATTAATCAAATTTGAACGATAACTCAATTTTGATCACGTGATTATGACTGATACTAGCGATGTGTCCAATTTTTATATGCCCAAATTTTCATGTGGACGTATATTGTCGTCGTTCCCTGTCCGTTTGTGGACACTACAGGTCACAAGTTTGATCCGATTTTGGCGAAACTTGACATATAGGTATATGTCCCAAGGATCTTGGTTCCTTTCGATATTAGCATGTAACTTCATGGTTATGGCCCCTGAAATCAGCTTTTTAGTTGTGGACACCCTAGAAGCCACAAATTTTATCCGATTTTGATGAAACTTAAAATATATGTTTATTACCCAATGATCTTGGTTTCTTCGATATTCGCGCATATCGGATTGTAACTGCATAGATTGAGGCCCCTAATTGTACGTAAAATCGCGTTGTTAGCTTGTGGTCCCACTAGAGGACACAATTATTATCTCATTTAAAACAAAATCGTTCGATTTACACCATCTCGTGAAAATCGGATAAAAACTTTCAGACAAAAATATGGCCTCTTCTCGTACGCAAATAGTTTAAAATTATGGTATTTCAAGGTTGTGGACCCTCCAGAGGTCCTCTCGATAATCGCGCATATCGGAGCGTAGCTTTTAATGGATTATGGTCCCTGATTGTTCGAAAAATCACTTGTGGACCCTTTAGAAGTGACAATTTGTATTTAATTTCAAAGCTACACCCCATTGAAGGTTGAATTCGATCTTCGTAAAAATCCGACCGAAACTGCCGGTCCACAAATATTCCAACAGTATGTAATACCAAGCTTGCGGACCTCTAGAAATCACAATTTTTATCCAATTTTGACGAAACCTGAAATGTATGCTTATAACGCAAAGATCTCCGTTCCTTTGGAACATACCGGACTGTAAATACCTGTATTATGGCCCCTGATTGTACGTAAAATTGTGTTCTTTACACCGAGGGGTAGAATTTATTCACTATGTGTTGATTTCACCAGGACTTGTTACAGTATCAATAGTGGGAAGCCGTGAACACTTATGCTACAAAAAGAGGCAAATGGAAAGATGTTTATGGCCGTAATAAGTGTGTATTCAAAAGTGCGTTCATGTGTGAAACTAGGGTCAAAATTACTCCGTTTTTCGATTGCCTGTCTGGTGTTATACAAGGGTGTAAAATCAGTCCTTTTTTTGTTATTATGTTAATCAGCTCGTTCAAATAATGGAAGATAGTGATGTCCAAGGAATATTCACAAACCAAGACGCACAAGATATTATAATGCTACTGTATGCAGATGACTTAAGTATCTTGTCATATTCTTTTGGAGACTTTCATAGAAAAATAAACATTCTCCAAAGATTTTACAGTAATTTTAATTTATCAGTCAATTTATCAAAAACGAAAATGATAGTGTTCAGAAATCGTGGTTTTATACGTAATAATGAAGTGTTTTATTATGACAATGTTAAGATAGAGTGCGTTTCATGCTACAGTTACATGTGTTTGAATTTTCAAAAATCCACACATAGACATCAAAACAAACTTCATATAACACCTACATTCAACATTGGACCAATTTAACCAATTATGGTTAAAACTACTTTTGGGGGTAGGGTTAACTTCTGTTGACATTTGAATACCCTTAATCATGAATATGATGCATGGAATTATTAACGGTATTAAAGGAAACTTCTGGCCAATTATCTACAAAATTTGGTGTATGAGAGGTTGTCGTATTTTGAGCTACTTTCAAACTGAAAGTGATTTTTGATGCGAATTTGGCTTTTGGCTAAATAGTGTATTTTTCGGCTGAAAATGGTAGTTTATGGCTTTGAACGACGTTTAAAAAATGTTAGTTATGTCTAAGCATGATAATTAAATGTTCCATTTAAATAAAATGCTGCCAGCACTTGGATTATTCCAAGAAAACTGAATTTTGCTATTTTGGCCGATTTGGGTCAATTAGTCATTATCATTAATTTTGTTGGGCAGAAATAAATGTACTTGGTCTGGGAGTGTTACCTAGGTGTTTTCCAAGCGGCTCAACATATAGAACAGGAAACCCCAAAGTTTCACTGTAAAAAAGAGAGCTGTATACAGCCCCCCCCCCCCATCCAGACCCAGGGTTATAGGTCCCATCCCATTCTGGAGAGGAGTCAACATTCTATTCCCCAATCCATATTCAAATTAAATAAAATATTGTTAAATATTGTTTATAAAAAAAACACAGCATCCAGCCAAGTTTGATCAAAGCACATAAACAATACAACAACACAGTGAATGATTTGAAAATGGCCATTTATTAATATTATTATGTTAGTAAATGCAGAAGGACCACACTGCACGCAAAACAAACCTGGGGACAAGAGAAACTACAAAGACATTGCAAGAAATAAACAAATATCAAATCAAGTGAAGGGATCCGGTGGGGGGGGGGGGGGAAATGTAGCCGTAAGATCTTGCCCACTGCGCTTTTTAATAAAGGACAAGGTATACAAATATATAATATGATTTTAATGAAATTTGAAATACAATAAACATGTATAATAACAATACAAATTGTCTCATACTGTATGGTTATCAAACAAAATGACACAATACTGCTGTAATATATGCTCAAACAACGTTACAAGAACCCCCCCCCCCCCCATGCAAGAACAATGTTTTTATTTCACGCTATTTTATTATAAATAAAAACTTAATGACGGGGTATGCTTACCCTTTCCAGATCAATCATATCACTTCTCTTTTTTAGGAGTTCTAGCATTACCAATGTGTTTTTTTATACACATTATTTCCACTTTTGAATAAAATGTATTTGAAACTGTATATCTTGGTAACAGATAAACAGCAGGTTCAAGTTTCGGAATTCCTACCTTTTAATAACCTGTAGCCAAATTGTACCAAGAACATTTTACTGACTTTTAAACATTCAACGAGTTTGACTCACACTGTAAAATTCGACAAAGCGGATTTACCATATGACACGGGGAGCAGTTTTGATAGGTCCATGGTACATTTAAAACATTTTTTGGGAAATCTGTGTTTTGGTTTTCCCCTCATTAATACCTTTCCCTCTTTAGTAACGCCAACCTCTAAACCCGCGCAATGTATATGACCACATCCCCAATTGGAGGGTTTGGCTTGGTATTTGGCATAGAGTTCGTGATTGCATTTTGAGTTAGGCTTCCAGTGAGACTCGAAGTTTCCGCTCTTAGTTGTCATGTGAATGGCTCTAACAGTTTTTGTAATGTCGATGATCGTTGCGTTTACAGCACGAGCATAAGAAACAATCCACATTCCAATACCGATCCGACCAACAACCACATCTGGAATATATTTCCATGGAAATAATTTATTTGTAAAAAATCCGTCGGAGGATCCGTCAGTTAACGGTTGTCCTCGTTTCAAAATTTCAGTAAAATTGGACGACTTATTCAAAAGTGGACCTTGAGAAAAATCTACGTTTGTTCTCCGCACTAAAACCATAACTGGCTTTTTACGCACAAGATCACTTTCCATTAGAAATTTAATCGCAGTGGACATGCCATTGTCAAATGATATATCGCCGTTAGCGTATCCGTATAAGACACTGTCATGATGTTTCATGGCATCAAGAAACATGTCTCTGATAACAGGTATATTAGATTTACCGCATGCAGTACGAGATACCGGTAAAGTTAACCAACCATTTTTCTCCATTCTGTCACCAGTAGTTTTATTGCTGTAGAAAAATAACGGTTTTACCAACGGTTTCCAGAATTGCCAGGAGTTCATGACATTAGCGTGCACTAAAGACTTCTCCTCGTTATCAGTCCATGTTGTAAACATTATTAATCCAGTCTTTCCTGAAGTCGGTTCACTATCGACAATTTTCATGTCTTTTGAAGAAAGTACTTTTTTAGTATCCGTGTTCTTGGTGTTGTCATTCATCACTGAGTACGGTGCAGTTTGTGTTCGCTTGACATCGTTTACAAGCGATTTAATAAGTCCACTATCGGTTAAAATTTTTCTCGCGTAAGAAATCATGAAATCATCCCGTTCGTTCGTGTTATTATTTGCGTACCACCACCCTCCAATACTTGCAAAGACAAGCATTACCAGAATCACAAAAACTTGATTAAAACCCTTAATATTCATAGTGCTAATGACTCGTACCACGATCGTTATTTCAAATGCGTTTCATACCATGTCCGCAATTACATATTAATATACAGACTTTAACCTGTAAACAGTCAGAATGTTTTGATCATTGATAAAAACAAATGTGCTAGAAGCTATTGTTATCGCCAGTCAGTTACTTTCATTCTATGTGTTCATTTATCTTTATACCCTCGGGGTGTTACAAGTATCGCTGTGTTTCATCTTTATGATAAAATTTTATGAGTGAAAACAATTAATATATTGGCCAATGTGATATAACATTAATGAATGTGCATAATACAATAAAGAAACTATCTGAAATGCACACTAGATTGAACATAAAATATGATTGTCATGAAAAGTGTAAACACGTATATGCGTGAGTTACTAAACATCGCATAATTAAATTTATTACATTGCTTATTGCCTACATATGGGACTATGGTAACAAAATCTAGATTTTAATATTGACGTTTAGCTTTCCAGATAGTTCCTAGCTTTTGTGAACGTGTAGACAACTTATGCAAGAAATAAAACCCCAACTGAAGTTCACCAACAATGGCATACCAGCACTTCTATATTAAATATATAATTTACATATACTTAGTTTTTTTCTATCATCTTTTGTTGTTGTAACGTTGATGTTATATGTTGCGTTACGGTCTTGGGTGAAAAATCCAACATGGTAACTAACATACTAACGCAGTTTATTTGACAAAATGTCGTCAATTTTATCTAGTTTAGATTGCAGATGTGTGTATGAAAAAGTAAAACAGTACGGTCTTCTTTTATTTCCAATTCTGACATCGGTTCTTTTACGTGCACGTCAGTGTTTACACGGGACCTCGGTCTTTCGTTCCAGACATTGCCCCTTGCTAGGCCCACCGTCCTACACCACAGACAAGGGGGTTAATCCCAATGAGATTTTTCGGCAACGCTGGGATCGGAAATAAGCTAACGTTTTACTCATTGATTCCCCTCCGCCACACCCTCGACTCCCGATATAGGTTAAACTGTGTGTCGAGTGGACTTGTTTAGATGGGATATTTCGATTGTAATCGGGTAATCTCTTTACGATTAAGTGTTCATTTTGTCAAATAAGAATAATCATGTAGTATAGTTGTCTATATTATTGATACATGTTTACTAATTTGTTACGTTCCAATTTACTTCAGTGCACAGGGCCATTACGCACCTTAATCAGAAACTGTGTCATTCTTTCCGTACTACATAGGTCTAATAAGAGTCATATAATATTCAAAAGTATTTATTGCTGTTGCTATTATCCATTCACTCCAACATAGCAAAGACGTTAGCTGTTGGAACATGAATTATATACAATATAGTTTGCTTGTAGTGATATACAATGCACTGGACTTATTTTATGCTGAACCAGTGAAAAATCAATCCACACGAGTTTAAATTAGAGTTACAGTTTCATCTTTAAAAAAACAAATGAGAGCAGCGCTTCAAATAATATTTTATTAAACACTACCATTAGAAGTTTCATATAATAAAATCGCTATACTAACATTCTAATGAGCGTTGACTCTCCCAAACAAAAATGAGCTATATTCCCGAGAAAATAAAACATAATAATCTATGGAGTGCAAGAGGCGAGAACCGTTGAACTGAAATTGAAATTCCTTCAAATTTCTCGTGACCGCGCAGGTGTGAATATTCTAAATATGGAAATAATTGCCATTTATACTCATAGAAAACAATCTGCAATTCAAATAAACCACGTTCAATAATTTTGAAGATATTGACAACAGATGCCGAAGCATAATTAATGAGAAATCGAAAGAAGCAAGGTGTTCATTTATTAGAGGGCACTACAACTCGAAATATAAATATGTTTGGACTATAGATCATTGTGGAGCTAGCCGAGAACGATTTCTAACAGTTAAAAAAGAAACTCAGCGAAATACCGAAATTTACGCCTCTATAAATACACTGTTGATATTGATAAATCAATTGATTTGAATTATATGTCAAAATTCATATGGGATGATTATTTTTATAAAATTGTCATCCCGAAAAGAATGTTTTAATCTCTTTAATGGGCATTTAGTAATTGAAAATATCAACACAACGTATGCATTATGTAAGAGCTAAATCAGTCTATAGTGTGGCTCTACAAATGTTATATAAATTATCATTTAGACATTTATTTACATGGCAAACCCATTATCAACTCTCAATACCATCGTATGGTTTTGATATTAAGTGGATTAGAATATCCACACCATTTAATCGGTTAACGTTAAAATGCAAAATTGAGACTTCGTTTATCATCGTAACAATGACAATTGAGAGTACGCTAATTTTTTCAAAACTTCAAACATTCTTTATTTCGCTCAGAATAAAGTAATTTGGCCAGCTATTTATCTAAATTTTACATTTTGCGTCTTGGATCAAACTAAAGCCAAGTAATTTGGCCAGCTATTTATCTAAATCTTACATAATGTGTCTTGGAACAAACTAAAGCCAAATGATATATATATATATATATATATATATAAAAATTTCTCCACTTTACTTCATTCTGACATACATTAAATTATATAAGCTAGCTGTTTGCCCTCTATAGGCGTCGCCAGATATCAATAGTGGATACAAAATATTGAAAATACTATAAAATAAATAAAAGATTCTACTCTCAGGTAAAAGTATATAGAAAAGTGAGGTTTAATGCCTGATGATCCCCGTAGTGGGTGAAAGCGCTAGCTAAGATGAAATTAGTTTTTTCTTTCTAAAAACCTCACTTTTCTATATATATATTTCTATGACATTGGATTATAAATAATATTGGGTAGCCCAATATGGTACAACTGAAATATAAAAATCAATAACAAAACACTATACATGTGTATTTGTGTGTTTTGATGTTTGGCACGACAACAGATTATTTCTAAAGATTTTTTTTATGACGTTCGATACGACACGTTTTAAGTTCTCTCTACACATTACTTTCTAAACTGTTTAAAGCTGTCTCCTCGTACACTTTACGTTCTAATCTGTTTTAAGTTCTTACCACACTTTACGGATTTTTATGAATTTGTTTTAGGACCTGTCCACAATCTACGTTCTGATTTGTTTTAAGTTAACTCTACACTTTACGTTCCTTGAATGACATTTAGAAGTAGAGGTACAATATTCATAATAACACAACTTTATGGATTTACTACTTCTTAGTCTACACATTTATCCTCAAAACAATGATACTGGGACAAACGTTTTTATCCCCATTTCTCAGATACAAAAAAGCTAAATAAAACCTAAATCTAAATGATCATTTGAATCAGACCCGGAAAGAAACTGAAGCCTACAGGAATGGGCTCGAATTTAAATGCAAACTTGTGAATTTGCTACCAATACTAAGCTGAAATGGTTTCAGTTTCAAATTTTTGTTGCTGATAATTGTTTTAGACAAATTGGAATTATTAAATTAGACCTATGTACATTTTGCATACCTTTATACATAATCATTAATACATCTTTAGAGAGAGAGAGAGAGAGAGAGAGAGAGAGAGACATGGGGTTTAACGTCCACTCGACACAAACTAGGTCATTTCGGGACTAACATATGGTTTAATTTTATTTCAATAATTCGTTTGCGCGTAGGGGTCTTTAGCAGTGGGAGGAAACCGGAGGACCCGGAGAAAACCCACGAGGTTGGACAGGCGACGCTAAACCTTGTCACGTACAACCGGGGAATCGAAACCACGTCAGTTGACTCAATGACAGGCCTTATGATACAACGCGCCCGTGCTAACCATTCGGCCATCCAACCCCCCAATACATCTTTATTATAGCTGTGAATTTGTTTTGGCAAGAATTGGGAACCTTGATTAAACTAAAGACAAACAATGATTTCGTGTTAATTTGTCAGTGAAACTAATGATAATATTATTTCAAATTCAGTAGGCCTATATATTTGAAATGAAATCGAATTCCAACTGCCAAGGACTCTTTTAGGTGCACGCCAAAGTCTACACGGGACCTCGGTATTTCGCCCCATCCGATCGATTAGACAGCTGAGAAGAGAAAAGAGAAAATCACGCCGGAAAATCCCGATGAACTTTCTCGTCAAACACCGGGAGCTTTCCCGCGACTCCAGACTAGCGAGCCAGCTTCTACTCACTTAGCCACTGTGGCTCCCCTATATATTTGAGTAAGGTTGAAATTTTGAACAACCCAAGATAGCACATAGAGGTTAAGATGTCATCATATTTATACAATTTATACCATTTATATAACATATATACCATTAGTGGATAGCGTAAAACAAACTAAATATAACAATCAAGTTATTTTATTTTCAAACTATCTACGTGTACACAATAATATTATGTCATACTGATCAATATAGTTGTTTCCACTCACATTATATGAAGCGCAATGATATCTTGTAGCCAGTGGCGGACCATGGCGAGGGCAACAGAGGCAAATGCCTGGGGTATAGAAAACAAATAATGAAGACCCATTTTCCCAAAAATCATGAATCAATTCTCCGAGTATATTCATGAAGAAACAAATTCTGTACTGTAACAACT